TCTATAACACATACTTTATTAAGAAATTTGCTACAAATACACAAAAGTAGAGAAAATGACCTTATAATACGTAAATCTATTACCTACGAATAAAACTTCTTGGAACGTAACAGAAAAATTATGATCTTTTGTAATGACTTCATTTTTTAAGCTTCACAGCACAACTAAAGTCTACCATAAATGACTGAAAATCAAATTCTGAACTGTGAAAATCATAGCCACTAAGACCCAACAAAATAATAATATTTCATCATCCTTGTTGTAAAACTCTACAATTTATAAATGCCCCGTGTTGTGTACAAGAATCAATCGATTCACATAAAATAAAATTTTTCAATCTAGAAGATGAAAACAACAACAGAAATAAAGAGAGAAAAGTGAAAAGTGTAAAATCTCTTACTACAATGATCTATTTAATAAAGCATGTCTTGTATCATGGATATGTCTGTATTACCTCTTAATCTTCAATTTTGCTTTCTATTTGGATTGTTCTTTATTCTCTTCTTCTTTGCTGAGACATATGGATGATACTTGGTCTCTTCCCCTTTCTTTTTACCCTGTTTTATTTTTTTCTTCTTCTTTGGTTGATCTTTTCCTTTTTCTGCAACACCTTCCTTTCTATTTTCTTCTTCTGTAGTTTCATCTATCGCTTCTTTTTTGATAACGATCTCTTCTTCCGGTTTTACTAGAACATTGCCTTCTGATTCCTGTAGATCACACTGATCTCCTTCTTCGTCAATGAGGAACATGCTATCAAAGTTCACTTCTTGTGGTGGAGGTAAATCCTGTGGCGGTTTCTTTTCCTCTCTAAATGTTTTTGTCTTTTCTTTCTTGGGTCTAAAGCTCAGTTGCAGTTCATCTGCATCTGTTAGAAGGTCATCATCAAGGGTACCAAAACTTAGGAAGTCAGACTCACGGTTTACTTTCTGCTTTTTCTGGTCTCTTACACCTTGTCCTGGAATGAATACCCTCTCCTTTTTGTTACTTCGCTTCAAGTGATAGGACTCAATTTGTTCTTCTGTAAGTGGATAATGGGTTGGAGTAACGGCCACATTTTCCTTGTCCTCGGTTTCCATTTCATCATCTTCATCCTCATCTACTTCGTTTCCACTGTTATTATCGTCCTCTTCCATGTCACCTTCAAGTTGAACAGCCTTACACATTTCAAGATACAACTGATTAAACCTACAGGAAGCCTCTTTCACCGATGGTCTTAGTCCTATGACCATACAATGATGTTTAAGGCCAAGCGTCTCATCACTCTGGAGAATTATGTCAAGGCCATAAAGTGCAATAAGTGGTATACCCTTGTTAGCACACCCAGGAAGGAATGTTTTGATCAGAAATCCTGGCTGAACATTTTTCTTGGCCAAGACTGCAACGATCTCATCCTTCTCCAAAGCCCTCATGACTTGATTGTACCCCATTACCAAGTGTGACATAGCTTCCTTCCTTTCCTGACTTTTCTGACTTGCTTCTGCATCAATATTTCCAAGAATCTTCTTTTCATACTCTTCTAGGAAGCATTTTCTTTCTTCTTTCTTGAATTTCCGTAACTCCTTCCACGGGGGTTTACTTGGGGCCTTCAGGCCAGAGCAACTCTTTCGTAGTAGGTTTCTTATGGAATCATAATATGAATCGTTGACTGCTGGCCAATCAAGAGAAAATGGACTTTCTAGTGTATTTTTTACAACAACCTTTTTTTTCATTCCTTTTATAGACTTCTTCTGTTCACGTTCACTTAAGACTGGTACTGCCTTAGGTTCCAAAGCCATTGTCAAAGTGTTACTTTTATAAAATCAAACAAAAAAAAAGCTAAGATTTCTACTACAGCAAACCGTACGAGTAAAGTATAATCATACAATTTCTTTAAAAACAGCAAAGATAATGGTAAACAATACACAGCACATTCACAAAGGAATCAGAAAAATTCAGATAACACATAAATGTCTAGTACAAAATAATGACTCTTTTGGAATATCTTACAACATAGCAACACTTTTGACGCCTATGAGACAAGAAAAATTGAACTTAAGATCCTTCCTCAATGTCAATAATGCCAAAGAAAGCCAACATTGTTGAAGTATAGTGAGGCAGATATGCATAAGAGGAGTATGTAATGAGTCCAAATATTGACAGAAAGAAAACATTCATAGCCAATTTCTCATTGGGTTCAAGCATGTACAAGGCTGTGTTCAGTTCATAGCGTCGATACCAGTTAGAAAAGGCTTTGCGAATTATACTCAACATTTTACCAATATTACTTTGTTCACCTTTGTTGCCAATGAAAAGGAGCAAACCCGAGCTGCCTATTCCTTCGGCTTTTCTTCCGAAGGGATTTCCTCAATTTTGGGAATCTCAATTTTCAGCTTCTTTAGTGCTTCTTGGACACAGCTTTGGTACTGCTTGAACACTGGCTCACATGTGGAGTCGTCCAACACTCCTCGTAGGAACTTCTCACTGTACCACTGATTGAAACAGTTGTCATACAGTGACTTTAGCTCTTGGCAATCTTTGCTCACACTGTTCATGGGAAATGGTTTGCAGAAGAATCAAAATAATCTTAAAGCATACTAACAATCTGTGAATCACTAAATAAGTATTTCTTTTTATCTTAAATTCTCAAGAGTAAATAATGTCTATGATATTACTGTAAAATGATAATAACCTGACTGAAAGAAATGACTAAGTTGACTTATTCTTCTTTAAGTCCACCACCTTGTATAACTTAGACAGCAGGTAAGCCGAGGCTCCAACTTCACCAATTACTGCCCCAATGCAGCAAGTCAAGGGCCAAACCTGTGAGAAGCAAACATCAATTAATTTACAGAGAAAAAAATCCCTTCCTAAAGTCTATAGTTGTGGAGCATCAAAAGATACGTGAATTACAACGAGCCAGTTAACCCATCGCCTCAAGGAGAATTTAGGGTGCACCTGGCCTCTAATTTTGGGGTTTTGTGCATCTGACTGGGCTTGACTCCAGGGCCTATTTCAAACTTGGCTGGTGCATCACACTCGCTTTGCAGTACCAACAAAGCAAGATGATTTCTTTTTGTATCACATTTATCCAAAACATGATTTAAATATTCTTACATATTCAGAGATGCACAATTTTCATTTCTAGCAGCTAGATCAAACATGTAGTAGCCTGATTATGTAAATTTGAGTCCAGTCCAATAACTTCGGTTTCACTACGTAAAAGATGGAACGTGGTTTTGTTGAGGATAGAAACAGAATTTTGCATAATTTTCGTAAATCATATTCTTTCGAAATAAAAAACTATACGCAGTTATATACAAGACAGCTATTCCATCTTTCAAAATAAGAGACTATGTGCAGTGATATACAAGGCTGCTACTCCCATAGATTCAGTTCTTCCCTTTTGTGTGTTTAAATCCAAGACAATCATACGGGCAGAGTGCCTCTTGATAATGTAAGTGCTGCTGACACTAGGAGACTGATCACGTAAACTAGAGTGAAGGTTAGAGATTCGCAGCAGCAGGAAGAAAATCCAAATTTTTGGTGCATGACACCTTCCAGGAATAGCAGGCACATGAATTATATGCTATATATCCCCCTTTATACAAAACAATAACTAATCAGGGCAATATCCTTCCTGTGCTATCACAGGCAGTCCCCAAGGGCATGTGACGAGGGTAACTTAAAAAGACCCGCATAAAGTGTCTTCCGGTACTTCAAGTCACCCGGAGCCAAGACCAAACCAGTTATGACATGAACTACATGTCGTCCAGAGGCAATGGGTTAAGTTAGTCTAGCTGAATAGGCAAAGGTAGGAAAGATAAAAATGAAAGTTAGGAAATTCAGAGAGCAATAGATGTTATTGACAGTTCTCATACATTTCTGATGAAGATAATAAATCAAAAGGAGTTAATTCCAACTCTTGCTTTGTAAAATTATTCTTTCTCATTTACAATTTGTCAAAAAGAGCCCCATTGATAAACAAGGAAGCACTTTTCTAAAAAAAAAATAAGATATTGTTAAAAACATTTCAGTGAGTTTTTTGAATGTTGTATGTATCTTTCTATAACACATCTACATTTATTTACATTAAAAAACAAAATTTCTCTACCCTAACTCAGTATAATATTTTCACATTTTCTTCAAGTATTTTTTATCAAGTACTTATTCTAGCTAATACAAAGTACCAGCTATGTATACTACTAAATTAATAACTGCTAAAACCCGAATACTACAGTAACGCCCAAATCCTCAGAAAACCACAGACCTGCCAAGGTGTGTCCCAGTCCAGTGGAATCGGCAGAGCACCAAACCAAGCTCCCACGAGGGCTGACAGACACTGGAGTTCCGGTTCTTCCTCAAAACTTGCTCTGTAAATACATTTTTTTCATTTGTAATTCATGCAAGTAAATTTGTTTTTGATTTTTGCACAGATAAATGATGTATCACACTTTATATAAAATTCTGGTTTGTTAAACATCGTGTAAGGCCCAACCCAATGAAGAGTCAACATACAAAGATGTATATACACAGAATAAATACATTTCTATCAGTCTAGACATGCTAGACATAGATAATACATAACAGAAATGTATTCATTTTTGTGTATGCAGATTGTCCCTATTTATGAATATTCACTGGGTCGGGCCTCGCACAATTTTAACAAACTGGCCAGAAAAGTGACTTTTCATATAAACTAAGTAAACAGTATTAAGTAGCAATATCAATAATAATGAAGGCACATTAATTCATGCTAAAAACTAAAATATCAAAAACTGGAAAAATGTAAAAATCATATACTCCATAAAACACCAATCAATAATAACATGTACAGTTAGGCCTTCTGCAAGAGGAAATATGTATCCCAACCATGACAAACCAGATAGTTTAAAGAAAAATATGACAAAAGATGCCACTGTACAAAATAGCTTCTTTGATAGTGAGTCTCACTTTGCAAAAAACCTACTTGTTAAGTGTTTTTTTTCTGTCATTATATTAAACAAGGCACAATAGAATTATCATTCAAAGAATAAAAGAATCCCAGAACAAAGACGCTGCATACCTCTCAATAATAACACCAAGAGCACCAGGGCCGAGGGTAACAAGGGGTCTCACAAATGCTAGAGATGCAACTAGTATGCTGAATGTGAAAGTCTCCTCAATGTTCCTGTAAAAAAAGAGAGAAATCAACAAAAGACAATAAATATATTTGAACAACAATGAATATAAGTCAAATAGCATCACTAGGACATATATGATCTTTTAGTAAATGGGGCAAATCATACACTTCAGGCATTTTGGGTTAAAAAATTACAGTTTTTGAGTGCATACAACAGAAAGCAGGCTTGAGTCAGCATGGCACGGATACCTGCCATCTGCCATAGGTGTTCAGTGGTTCGTGGCAAGTACAAATACAACCTAATGTCAAGATATCAACCCAGCAAAACAACCCCAACATAAAAAATTAATTAAACATAGCAGAATGATTCCATTTCTGCAACAGTGATTGACCCTCTTTTATCAGATATCAACACAATTTTCTAGAAAATATAAATTCAACAAAAGTTAAATGTTTGCAACCATCTGACCCAAAATTTTTCAACCAATGCCAGATTTCCTGAGGAATTGCATTAAAGTTAGACAGACTAATGAAAATCATCCTGTATTACATATTTTGCATAAAGTTAACAAGTTTCTTATTATACAACGACAACACACGAAAGCGGGTTTCTGCATTTACACCAAGAAACAATTTTAATAAACAACCCAACATCTAGAAAAATTATGAAATTTACTTAACAATTACATAAATACTTACTCAATCAAATAAGCTCCGTACAGCACAGTTACAACGTGCGTGAGGCATACACTGAAGATACTCAAAATCACCACCAAGAAGAAATCCACAAGCTGAAATAAGAAAAAAAATTATTAAGAGAATCCATGAATAAATGTTTTGTTGCTGACATGAGTAGATTACACAATTTGAATGACAATGTGACTTTATTCATTGCCTGTATATTTGATAAATAAATTAATGAAATGTAAGTTGGATACAAAGAATTGTTACTAATTATTTTGTATAAAACCATGTTTATAGCCATATATTGTGTAGCTTTAACCTGAAGAAAGTAAATTCCTCTGTTTCCCATTCACAGAAAGTACAAGTACTTCTTTCCCTATTGCAGGAAATGGTACCCATATCTAACTAGATTAAAGAATTCATCAGCTGAGTTCAAAAAATATTGAATGGGCTGAAAAGCTTTCTTATTTTGTTCTTGAATTGTCTAAAGAAATACATCACTGTATTTTTCCCACCTTTCTGGAATGTAGTTTTGTGGGTACAAAATTGCTTTTGTATGGCATATACATATTCATGATGTATCCCAGATATTTACCATAAAAATAAGTAGCCAATCTAAGCTTTATTCTGCAAGAATATGCATGAAGGATGTTTGTCATCAGCATAGCACTAATAAGAGCATAGTACCCATGATCAACATGGACATGTTACACCATGCAGGCAAGTAAATCATATGAACACGACATATCCCATATTCTATTTAAAATCAACTGTATTTCATATAATTAGTATTCACTCTTTACTCATAATCCAATTACACTGGCCTAATTCTTTGATTTAGATATTCCACACCTATCTAATTTATAAATATTCTAACAATCTTAGCCTCTATCCTGTACCTCAACTACAAACACTTGGTCAATTTCTAGTACTGTACATCAGTCCCCATGAGGAATATCTTGCTTTATAAATTCATATACAATATAAAAGTTTCTAGCTTTGACTTTATCCGATAACACTGTAGTGCATTCAAGTATAACACTATAAACCTTTTGTCCAATAAACTACGTTAAAAAGAGTATATGCAACCACTGCCACTCGTAACCTAATAACTGAAATTAGAAGCAAAAGAAAGTATATAAAAAACAGACATTATATAAATTAATTTTTCTAGCAAATGCTAATGCCCTCAAGTAGCTATCTCATGTCATTTTTAAGTTTCACACAGCCATCCAACCTTGTAATTATTACTCCTTGTTCCAATTATGGACATTGTTACATGCATAAATCTATTGTTTTCCATCGCAAATTATATAAATGAGTCCCGGTAATTGTTTATGAAGTGACCAAACCCCTCTGATGGGAAGTCCCTATTACTTCAGCTAACCCTGTAAAATCCACAAACATCACCATATGAACCAAAAGCCTTCCTAACGCAGGGGCTCCACTCCCAAGCCCCCATCTGATTTCCATATTTCCCAATTGGGGGCTACACCCACAGACCCCTATCTGATCACCATGGACTTGCTCTCTGAATAGCATATGTAATGACCAATTTCCTTTATTTCTGATGTTGCTCTTTTCTCATGTATTATATATTATCATATTTTTTCCCCTTCTATATGATATTGTTATTACATTTTCTTATACATGTATATATATATCCAACTATCACCTGTTGCACATCTTTCATATTTTCAACTTGAAAAAGTTATCAG